TCTTTTTAAAATTTTAAACAATGAATACTTGGATGATAATTTGAGGAAATTTTTCTTTTCTGCTTATAGTTTTATTACATTTTATGAGTTACCTTAAGCACATAATTATCCTTATTTATTTGACAGCAAAAAATGCTGCATGTGTTCTTAACTGGGGCTATTTTACAGTTTTTCAAAGTTTACAGTCATTTAAAAGAACCACAGTAAAACTTCAAGTTGCAGGAAGAAACAAAATATCCCAAGGCAGTAACAATGGAAAAAACAAGCAAACAACAAAATAAAAAAAAAAAACCTAAGAAAACAAAAAGAAATTCCTCCAAAAACTCTGAAGTCAAAGCAACCATGTCAAGAAATGTGAAAACTTTTTCTATATTTTATAGAAACCATAATTTCATTTCAAAATCAACTATGGTTCATTAGAAAATAAAAAATAGAAAAATTTCTACTTTAATGTATTTCCCTTCTAACTGCTTTCCAACTTTTTGTTTCTTTTGTAAAATAGGCTAAACTTTAGAAACAGAGTCATTAAAAAAATGGAAAGTCATTGATAAATGTTAGGTTTGAAATGTAATATGTATCCTTGGGGTGTATCCAAAGGAGCTAAAAGAGGAATAAGTTATATTTCCCTCAAAATCTATTCAGCACTATTTACAAAAGCAAAAAAAAAAATTGCTATAACTTTATATATCTAAAAATAACAATTAATGATTAACTTCCATCTACTGTATTAAATGCTACATGTTGACTAAAAATGATAGTTATGAAAATTTTGAGGCAGCATGGGAAAATGTTTATGGTACAACAGCAAGTGAAAACAAAATATAAAAATAAGATGACAAAATACAAAACTATTAAAAATGAATGAATGCTGGAAAGAAACATTTTAGAAACAAAGTTAATTTTATATAGCAATAGTGAAATTGTTCATTTTTTCACTTTATAATTCCAATTTTTAAAAAGTTGTTTTAGTCTCAAACTTTTTTCCTCTCTGTATGTATATTTTTGTTCAGATTGAAGGAAGATGGATCAGAATCCCACCTTTAAAATGGAGTCAAGTTTCAGTGTTTCTGAATTCTGAGGAAAACTGAATTCTGTAACTAGACCAAAGACTTCTCCAGGAAAAATGAGAGAGAACAAGTAGTGTAATAAGAATAATTTGAAAATGATAATGTTATTATTTAATTGTACAAATTATCATTATTAAAGAAAAAAATAATTTATCCTGCAGCTACATTTTTAACTCTCACAAACTCAATTATTTTGCACTGAATATTAATTTTTTTCCAAAGCTGTGTAGAAAAAAAATTGAAAATACATACAATGTTTATTAGTTGTCTTTAATATTTAAAAAAAAAGGATGATAAAAATGGAGTCCTAAAGTCTGCCCATTTTTTATCCTTAACCTAGTAATGTGAATTTGACAAGAAAAAACCCTTCTCTCAGGTTAATTTTAGTGCTCAGCTCACTCAGAGGGGAGAGAAGTACCAATCAACATCACTCAATCCCCCCAACCCCAGCCTAAAATAGCCAGGTCACTGAGGCAAAACTGATTTGGGGGCTAAGAAGGTCTGCATCTAACCCCAGCTGTCTCCTCCCTCCTGTGTTCTTGCAGCCTCTGACTATACACAGACCTTGGAGAGGGGGATGGGGGTGGGAGGATTAGAATTCAGTGAAACAGCTGATTTTTAAAACAAATCAGTTTCAATTTAGCAATGGTTGGCAAATTTTTAATTTTAAAAATTTGTATTTTCTGTTATTGTAAAAATTAATTTCAGCTAACATTTGGACTTCTAACATATTTTTTAAATTAAAAAAAAAAAACCCTATAAAGGAACTGAATTCAATTTTGACTTAAAAAAATTTGTTTCCCTTTGAATCTAGGATGGGAAAAGGTGGGCTGCATTTTACAGGCGTTTAGAGGTCTTGTGGGAGATTTTTGTGGGTTGTAACTTGCTTTGGTTTTAGAAATAAAGAGGTAGCGTGGTGGCTGTGTCCCCCAGGGAGAAAACCTGAGAGGTGCTTCTATTAATTCCTTAAGATTTAAATTAAATGAAGGAAAACTGCACTTTCTGGGAAGTGGAATGCCCTGCCTAGTGCCCTTTCTTGTTTCCCAATATAACAGAAAAGATTGAAGGAGTAACGCTCCAGTTTAGGAAAAGGCCAAGGAACACAGCAGCCTTTCTGAGACTATCCTTAAGCCCTCTCAAAAGTGCACACACTACACCAAAAGTCCCCAGGCAACAGATCCACACACTCTGCCCAAGATAATTTTTTTTCTTCTGGACTTTTTATCTAAAGTCCCTTTGCTTTGCAGTTTCTATTAGCTTGTTTTTCATTAAAAATAATTATTGAATACCTACTATGTGGCAGGTACCGATTTCAACTCGTTGGTTTTAAAGTTATGTTTATGGTCAGGAGTTAGCAGATAGTCAGAAACAGAGGGGAGGGTCGGAGGATGGACGGGGGGTGGGATACACATGTTGCCCACCTTGGATTGAAGACTTTTTTCGACTCAGCAACTAACTGCTTATAGTATTTTAATTTCTGTTGCCCCATGGAGAGAAAAAAAAATCGCAAAAACAAAAACGCGACAAACACGTGGCTGGTTAGAACAAAACGCGAATTTGGATGGTCGGTTTTGAATGTGGGGGAGACAGAGAGACCGAGTTGGAAGCCCTCCCCCGCACCCACGCCAAGCCCCATTTCTTTCCAGCGGGCGAGGAAAACCGGGAGGGGGACAAAGGTGCGGCGTGTCGTCTGTAACTCCCGACTTTTGAACGGTATAAAATCGTCAGGCAGAAGAGCGGTGCGCAGAAGTCGGAGTGAGCTCAGACTCTGCAAACAAAAAATAATAAGAAAAAAACCTCAAGGCATTCATATCGATGCAGCCAACACGTGTTTCGGAGTCGGCCCGGGCCGCAGGCGACTGAGACAATGGGGTCGGGGACCGGGAAAGGGAGAGTGACCCCCTTCCTCACCTGCCCTCGCAGCACGCGTGCCCCAGACAGAATGATTTGCCCCTCCCGCAAAACCCGAGCTTCCGCTCAGTTCAAGGAGCTTCTGGCAATACTGGGGGTCCACTCCCCGCTTTCCCAGCGAAGGGGGCTCCACGGCCCTCGGGCCGCGCTCTCCACCACCCCCTGCGCCGTCTCAGCCCCCGCCGCTGGAAACTCGTCGGCCAGGCTGGTCCCCTGGCTCGGGATCCCGGTGGCGCGTGGACCGCACGTCCCGCTCTCTGCCGCGTATCCGTGACTCCGAAATGCGCGGCGAATTGCCCCCTCCCCCAATGCCGAGACCCGGTGCGATCGCCCACGTGTCGACCCTTGCCCGTTCCCGTCCATCCCTCGGGATCTCGGGGCCGGAGGATCCGGAACGAGTTGGTCAAAGGCGAGGAAAGAGACCAGGGCGGATCCTCTTCCCCCTCCCCAGAAACGGGCGGGGGACGGGCCGCCGCCCCCTCCTCTAAGCTCCCGCCCCTGCTTCCCCAGCGCCGAGCGGAAATTACCCCCTCCCCCCGCGGGTCTGACCTGGGGACGGGGCGGGGCTTCGATCTTGGCCCCTCTCCCGCCTTCCCGCCCAGATCCCAATCCTGCACCCCAAACAAAGTTCCGAGACCCCAGCCCCGCGCGGGGAAAGCGGCTGTCGCCGTCCTGGGTGGAGCGGGCGGAGGGGACTCCACCTGTCTGTCCCCCGTCAGGGCTGGAGAAGGAGGACGATTCGGATCTGCACCCGGTCACTCCCTCTCTGAGACCTCCCCCTTCGGTTCGCCAGGGTCTGCTCACGCTACCACTCCCCGTCCTTCTCTTCACCCCTCCCTCTCTCCTGGGGTCATCTTGGGCCGGAGCCGCGCGTTCTCCCAAGACCCCGAGACCTTGTCGTTCAACAGCCGAACCCTGGGTGTGATCCACTCTTTCTCCCGTGGGAATCCTGAAACCTGATTTCCTGCGGATCCCTCGTTACCAACCGCGATTCCCTCTTCCCAACCTCCTGGTCCCGCTTTCGCAGGGCCCCTCGATCCTGGATTCCCGGAGGCGAGGGAGTCTCCCAGGGCTGGGGCAAGGAAGGCCGAGACCCTCCCCCCAACACACAGTTAAAAATCCAAGGAGAAGGCGCCTTTTTTCTTCTAAATCATCGGCTTGCCGGCTTGCGCGACCCCCTCCTGAAGACCCCAGAGTCCTCGGCTTCTCTTTGTCTATCTCCGCGGTTCCCCGCTTGTCAGTCGGTAGCAGTTAACCGGGATAGAGTGAGCAAACTACCTCCCCGCCACCCAGTACAAGAATAAAAAAAAAAAAATAACCATACATTTTACATAAGAAGAGGTGGGAGACTCTGGGCCGACCACCCTCCCCCCGCTAGTGCCTGGGTAGGGGGATGGGTGGGGGCGGGGCGCCTCCCTAGGGGCCAGATTCTTGCAAAGGAGGAGGGGGCGAGTGGAGCTCCGGCAACGCAGCCCCACCCGCTCGGTTGACTCGGGGGTGAGTTGAGTGCCCCCCCCCATCCACCTAAGCGCGAGGTTGGTAGGCTGGGCCGGGCTGGAGGGTCTAAGGGCCCGGAGGCGTCGGGGGTCTTCCCCTTCGGGGTGGGTGGGGGCTTTCACCACGTGGCTTTGCCTCCCCTCCCACCCCCGCTCCATTTTTTTTTTTTTCCAAGTCGATTTTATTTAGAGGCGGCGCCAGGGCGGCCGCGGAGAAACGTGACACACCAGCCCGCTCGTAGGGGTTTCGGACAGAAGGAAGGAGCTGCGCCGCGTCGTCCGCCTCCCAGCGCGCCGAGGGCACTTCTCCAGGGCCTCCCCGAACTCCCCCGCGACCTCTGCGCGTCCTCTGGCCGCCCTCTGCGTCCCGGGCTCAGGACAACTTAGGGGTGGGGTGCAAAGAAAGTTTGCGGCTGCCGCCGCCGGCCGCCCGCCTGCCCGCCTCTCGGCCTAGGAGGCTCGCCGCTCGCGCCCGCCTGCTCGCTCGGCCTTGCTGGGGACCGCGTCCCGCCCGGAGCCCGCCACCATGAACAAGCTTTACATCGGCAACCTCAACGAGAGTGTGACCCCCGCCGACTTGGAGAAAGTGTTTGCGGAGCACAAGATCTCCTACAGCGGCCAGTTCTTGGTCAAATCCGGCTATGCCTTCGTGGACTGCCCCGACGAGCACTGGGCGATGAAGGCCATCGAAACTTTCTCCGGTAAGAGTGCGCCCATCTCCCCGAGAAACCACAAGAAGATCCCCAAACAACGGAGACCTGCCCCTCTTGTTTTCTTGCCCGCCAACTCCGCTCTTCTCCCGGCCTGCACATTTGGCTTCAGGGCCCACCCTCCACCCACCTCCTTCGACGCCCCTCCACCCCAACCCCCCCTTCTACCCCCACGTGGAAATATTCGGGATTCCTCACCCCTTCCACCCACTGTAGGCTTTGGCAAAGTGGTCCCCATACCCCCCACCGACGGGGCGGGAACCCCCCGTGGTAGTAGTTGGGGGGCGCCACTGAGGCCACCCCGTCTGGGCGTTATTTCTACGTCGGCCCCTCCCTATCTACGCCTGGCGCGCTCCCCCACCCCCAGCACCCCAGCTCCCCTTCCTCCGCCCTAGGCCTTTCCAGGCGGGGATGGGGGTCCCTCTTCGTCTTCCATCTCCCGGGTTTCCGTGTGTACTGCAGCCTTCGGGCAGGACCTGAGAATGGGGATTCTGCCTTCCGCTCAGGGCCTGGGGCTTGAGCCATTTTGATTTGAAAGTGGGGCGTGAGCGGGTGTCGCGGCGGCGGCGGCGGCGGCGGCGGCGGGTCGCCATGCTGTTTCCCGAGACGCGAGGCTGGGCCGGGAGGCGCGCGCCCCGGCCGTCAGGGACCCTCTCTGCGGGCCCCGCTGTGCTCCCCCAGGGCCTCTTCTCCCCACCAGCTCGACAGGTGACCGCTCCGCAGCCAGAAGCCCTCCTCCTTGGCTCGACGCAAAGATAAAGTTTCATTTTGCACCCCCCTGCCCAAAACACACTTAGAGAGGAACGGGCGTCCTTTCTTGGCCCCTTCTCCCCACGTCTGGAAGCCTTGTAGACCGCCTGGCCGCACAGATGCCGTAGCATTCCCAAATCGAGCTCCCAGAGCGCTCCATAACTCAACTAGCCTCGGTGGGATAACAGAACAAAACAAAATTTAAGAAAACAATAATGAATTTACAGACACAACCATTCTCAGAACGACCTTTCGCATCCGGCTGGGGAATCCATTGCCTGGATTCCTAGGAAGGTCTCAAATCCCAGGAACTCCTGAATTACCCTAATGTCTTTCTCCTTCCTTTTCCGTCCCCCACCCTGTTCAAGCTCTCATGTGTGTGTTTTTGTTTTTTAATCTTTAGGGAAAGTAGAACTGCAAGGAAAACGTCTAGAGATTGAACACTCAGTTCCCAAAAAACAAAGGTAGGAAAGAGTTCTTCTCTGGGGAAAGGGGCAGCCTGGGGGCGCTGAGAGGCTGTGTTCAGGGGTCCATAGTGTCTCCAGTGGAAGAAACCCATTACTGGCCTTTCCACCCCCAACTCCGGATGTTGGGGGCAGGGAGGGAAGATTGGCCAAGATCTTGTAATGGGTGGTTTACAGCTTGTAAAAGAAATAAGCTGGGGCTAGGGTGGGCTAAGAGATATTCCTTGGAGAAGTAAAAGGGTAAAAATCCATAGCGAGGGAACCTTGTGGAGTTTGTTCAAGGTGTGTGGGGCCACTTCTGTGGGGAAGCTAAAAACCTCTTGAAGAGTTTAGACTCATGGACATTTTTGCAGCTTCCTAGCAGGCTTCTTTCTCAGGGTTTTTTCCCCCACTCTTCCCTCACTATAATTTTTAAGTGGCTTGGGGGAGGGTCCCCTTTGACTTGCTAGGAGAAATGGAAGGAGTTCCTGCCCCCCAAAGAATTCTCTTTAGGCTTGTGCTATGTATTAATATTTCTGCAACAGGCAAGGACATTCACAGAACCCCAACCCCTACCCCTAGTCCCTCCCAACTAGATTTTGCAGAGTATGCTTTGGCTGTACTGTCCTTTCCTAGTCCCCTACCCCTCACCCCCCACCCCTTCAGCCCATTGTTACAAGGGGACCATCTGGGGTGAGAGCTTTGTGTTCAGGCTGTGAGCTGGGGCTCTTTGGAGGGTCTAGAACTCCCCGGATGAATGGGCGGGGGGTGGTGTGTCTGTCCCAATATCATTTTATCCCCACTTCGGCAAAGTAGGTTACCTCTTTTGGTAATCCCCAAATCTGATGGTGGATTTCAAATCTTTCATTGAACTCTGGGTGGGAAGTGTAAGGGCAGTCTTTTGCTTTCTGAAATCTGACTTCAAACATGCTGCAGCCTTAGTAAATCTTTGATTCTTTCACTAGCCCCCTCCCCTCATCTCAGCTGGAAACTATTTCAGAATAGTCCCTGGCCTTTTCTGGGTGGGAAGGTAAAGGTGCATGGCTGTGCTTTTTTGGAGGCCGTTAAGAGGACCTAGAAAGTTTAACACCAGGAACAATTTATTCAGTGGTTTGTCTTGAGATATTTAAAAAACTTGGAACCATTGTATCTGTAGAAGATCAATATGGCTTGTAACTATGTTTACAGAGTTTGTGATTTAACCTCCAGTACTTGAAATACTCTGTTATTGGAAAGGCAATTACAGTTAGGATTAAGAGATAATCAAATCAGAAGGAAGAAAAAAAAGTCTTAGTTATTATTTTGAAACATTTCCTGCATATGGGAATAATAGAAGAACCGTACACTGACACCTATTGAGTGTGACGTCTATTGAAAAGATTGTGTACATTTGAACTGAAAGCTGAATGTTTGAAACACGTTGATGAAAAATATTCAGAATAACTGGAATTCCAAAATATGGGGAATTTTTTCTTTTGCTCTTCAGTATCGTTTAAATTTTACAGGGAATAAATTGAAAAGCAAGAGAAATAGCAAAATGTGATGAAATGGAACCCAAAACATTTATATTTTAATTTTCATGGTGCTCTGTATTTATGGATCTTTTCCCCTAAGCCATCTGCTTGCTTTCAAGCCATTTTTAGGCTCCTTGTTCCCTCCAAAATGCACTACTGAGGGCTCTTTTGAGTTGGGAAGGGGTGGGGTTTGTGAGAAGAGTGGGTACAAAATCTGCCTTTCCACACCCATATTAAATTCGATCTTTTGTGTGTTCTCTCCTTCCTGAAATAATACATGAGAATAAACATTGAGTCAGTTGTGTTTTGTTTTATTTTTTGGATGGTGGTGAAAAGGCACTTCATTTCCCTAGAACGAATCAATTTTTGAAGTTTTAGGATTTAAAAAAGGAAAGTTTGTTTTCATGAAGTCAGGATGCTCTCATTTTGTGTTCTTTGGGCAAGTATGTTGTGGTATGTGTTTTTAGTCCGTCTGAAAAGTATTTTTTTCAGTTGGTTTGTTACTGGCTCTTTTAATCTCATGGATGTATACAACAGGAACTACTTAATTCACTATGACTAATATTTTAAGGAAAATGAACAACTGTGCTTATACATTTGTGTATATATACTCTAGTGTTTTCGCAGTTTAAAATGGAATTCTTGGTGCACTCAGTTCCACATGAATTATGACTTTAAACGTTTTTAAGACATTCATAAAAATCTAATAAGCTAAATGGTCCTGATTTTTGGGTTTTTTTTGTAGGGGGGGAGTCAAACAAAAGGTGGTATTAGTACAGCAGTTAACCTCTGAGCAATCTGATTTTGGAGTATTAATATATTCTATTTGATAAATATCATTGTTACCTTTTTTAAAAATATTACATATTAATTGTTGAGAGAGAGGAAGGGAGAGAAGGGGAAAGAGAAACAGAAACACTGATTTGTTGTTCCACTTATGCATTTATTGGTTGGTTATCTGACCAGGGGTCAGCCCAAAACCTTGGTGTATCTGGATGATGCTCTAACGAACTGAGCCACCTGGCCGGGGCAATTGGTATCTTTTTAAGAACCCCAGAGACTGAACACTGTACATTTAAACTGAAAAGATTAATACCAATTTTCAAAATGGGTGGCATTAAATTTCTCTGAGATCACCTTCTCATACTCCCTTCTAGTGTTGGTCAACAGTTTTGGCTTTTTGTTGGGAATTTGTATATGTTCACTCTCAAATATTAGGACAAAGGAGTACAGCCAAAAACATTTTAAGAACAGCTGTGGAGAGAGTTTGTATATATATTTCATTTTGAGACATAAGAGTAGTTAAGGTAAAGGGGTACCTTCTTAGTCTTGTTTATTTTGGGAAATGGCTTGCTTTTTAAGGGAATTAAACTTTTGTTTCATTTGCCACTGTGTGTGCCTTTTTCTAGAGGAATGTGACCTAAAGATAGCATACCTACTGTCAACTGGTGTCATCAAAATTCAAAAGGGTGTTGTCATTAAGGAAAAAAAAATGATGCACTGCATTTTTCTTAATGAAATGTGTTCAAGACTTGATTTCCTTAGGCAGGTAGTGGTGGTTCTTTAAATTGTATTAAAGTTTGATGGGCTAACACTTTTCCTTAAATTTCCAGTTATTTAAAAAAAAATAATTGGTCTCAGCCTTGTAAGTGTGAGAACTCTTTGATGAGAAAGTGTTCAAACCTAATTCTGATTTTACAGTTTAATTTTCTAAAGTTAGCAGCTTTAAAGATTTATGCAAAGGGATGTCTTTATAAATGGCAAAATGTTTTTAATTTTAAGTGATTTGTGGAAGCTCTGAAGAAATAATTGGGTCACTAAATGTTTTCACAACAAGCCAAAATTTTTGCCTTCAGAAATAGGTATGCCTTTAGAGAAAGTTGTTCTTAGGGGCTGAAAATGAATTATAAAGGGGGTTAAGAAACAAGAGAACGGCTTCAAAAAAAAAAAACAACAAAGTAAAAAGTACTGGAGTGGAAGGATTTTTAGGCACTTTTGCTTTAGTGGTTGTAGTTGTCAGATGTATCTTTCAACAAGTATATATTCAACAAGTATGTTTAAAGTAGAAACAGTTTAAAGTAGACACTCAGTGAAGAGGTTTCATAAAAATTAGGTTAGTTTTCTGGTCATTAAATAAGTTTAAAAATGGTTGATTCTTAAAGTTTTCTGAACTATTTGGAGGGGAAGTGGAAATCAGTTCACTCTCCCCATTTTAATTTCCACATAGAAAGTGAACTTAGCAAATTCATAAGTTAAATTTTCTTCACTGCCAGAGAAATCCTTGCTCTTTAATGCCCAGTATTTCAAGATGACTTTCCTAAGGACAGTGGTATTTGACTGTCCTTTGAAAGAGTTGGATGTTTCCAGAACCCTTTATTTTCTGACTCAAAGGAGAAAGATGAAATTTTACTCCAGTGGTTTCCCAGATGGAGGACTTTTGAATAAAGAAGGGGAAGAATTGTAACTCCCATCACTAATTTATTTAAAGTATATAGTTAACTCTTCCAAATGTAAAATTTTAAGGACACAGCTTTTAGTGGGAAAAGAGCAAACATTCTCATAATTATGTTTTAGAGGTGAAGTACAGTCCATTAGGCATTGGGAGAATTTTGATTCTAAGGTTCTGAGCCTCTAATCTTTTAAAATTACCTTAATATATGTCATTTTAATCTATTTCTTGTGTTTGGGTACTTTCAAGGCTTATATTTTAATTTATTCTAGACTTGAATGTGTAATAACCAGTTGACAAAGATAGGCTAGAGAGTATACAATTTCCAAACGTTAAAAATTTTTTTTTCCCAAATCTGTTTAGTTGAGTGCAAAGGGGGACCAGCAAGTGTTATTGGTGGAAGTTTAGGGATTTGTGTTGCAGAGATGTATTGGTTGTACCCGTGTGGATTTTTGTGCGTGCGGGGTAGGGGGGGCGGTGAGGGGTGGTGGTAGTGGTGGTGATGTTACCATTAGAATAAATGTATGAACCAAAGGCGTTTGAAAAACCAGACATTTTGCCAGCTTTTAGAATTTAAATTCAGTCTTGTCTCCCCATCCTCTTAAAGATTCTTCAAATGTGGCTAATGTCTTCCAGAAAGTGCAGCCTGGCTTTGGGGATGGAAGTGTTAGGGAGAGAAAAGGGGAGGAAAAAAAAGCAGCAGGGGAGACTGGAGAAATCAGACGAGTTAGTCCTGCGTTGGAAATTCCAGACGGGAAAAAAAGAGAGAGAGAGAGAGATGGGGGTTGGGGTGGATTTCCCGCTTCCCTTTTAAAGAGGAGAGGCGCCCAGCGACCCCCGGGAGAGGGGGTCGCAGACATCAGGTTTAGAAGACCCGCTGTAGATTTCAGCCGAGGGTAGGGCTATTTTTGCTTTCAGACTTGCCTGCCTTCCCTTCCCCTTTTCAAAAAAGCAGAGCAAGTCGCGGCGGCGGCCGCGGCGGCGGCAGCAGCTCTTCCTGGAGAGCCGGCGGCCCGGCCGCCCTAACCCTTCCCCGCTCGCCCCAGCCTCACCGTCTC